TAATAAATTTGCTAAAAAAAGTTCGTTATAAAGTGAGTTCGTTATAAAAAGGTTCGTTATATCCAGAGTCGACTGTAGTTTTCCCGGTCCTGTACAATCTCTAATTTGATATCTTGATCACAAATCAACCATGATAATTTGAAGGAAAATTTACTTTCAAGAAATCAATATGTGCGGGTGAGCTCGGGTAACAGATTACACGGATTGTATTAATAACGTAATTTATTATGTTAAGAATATTTCTGCTTCAGGGTTGAATGGTTACGTATGAATAAATTTTTTAACAGTTCCTAAAACAGAAATAACTTGCAATAGTTGACCTGAAATTTATTTTTGGATATATATTATTAAAAAAAATTTCACATCACCCATTTCGTACGCCAGCTTAGCGCACGTAGATTGGCAAGCTCGAGGTAATTCTTTTTTTGTTAACATGTTACACAAACATTATGTATAAATAGCACTAGAGTAAAATAACGTTAACTTAAAAAATGTTCAGATTAACAAACAGGCCAATTTTCAATATTCACAAAAAATACTATTTATCTTTAGCATTTTTACTTCATCGACAATTTAGGCATTCTCAGCAAAACAAAAATGCCCATTCTAAATATGATGGTTACTGGAATTTACAAATGCAACAGGTTGGAAACTTTTTAAAATAGAAGAATGCTTATCGTTAAACATAAATATATTTGATGATAATATTTACACTGCGTAGCCTACGCCTACACCCTCATCATATTTACTAAGTCCTTCGCACGAAGAACATAATACCGATATAGCATCAACAGCAGTAAATACCAATTCACCTGAGGAAATTAAATCGGTAATGATTGATGGAGAGTTGATACCTCCAAAGCCTGTTTTTCCTGATAATTGTTGCATGAGGTAATTGATGAAAATCAGTGTTCTTAGCATCTCACTTTACTAATATACTATCTGACAACGATTCGAATTGATAATCATTAGCGGTTGCGCTCATTGGTATGCTATATTTAAGAAATATCAAAACTTTTATTATTAAAACAAACATAATTTTTATTTTTTGCTGTCATGTTAAGTGTTTTAGACATATATCAGGATGACTTAAAAGAATGGAAAGAAAAGACCGATCGAATACGAAAACGATTATTGAATGAGGGCGAACCATTGCCACCGATTCTTAATGATAGCGCAAAAGAGGCTGATGATATTGATCCCGGAATTAAAGCATTTCTGGAATTGGAAAAAAAATTAGCAGGAACTTCATCTCAAGGATAAATAATAATGCATTTATTATAAATCAGTGTTTTTAATGTAAATATTAAATTAATTATGTATTGCGTAATATGACGTGGTGAACGCATGAAAGAAAATTGATGAACATCTACTGACAAAGATTTCGGGATGAAAGTTGCACTTGTAATTTTTTATATCAATCGCAAGCTCGAGAATATGAAATAATCGGCTTAGCCGACTTTGCCGATCCGATTCAAATATATCTCTCAAATCTCATTCTTTACTTAAAGATCGTTTAAACTTCCGAGCTTTAATTATCCTATTAAGTGTAATTTAATATTCGGTTATAATGATAAGTACTTATAAATCCATTTAACTCAACAATTCAATTTGCAGATACTTACTGGTTTATATTCTATGAATATAAAGAACAATTGCTTCGATCGTCGTTCCATGAGAGTCGATGTTTCAACGGTATTTAAGAGACGAATTTAAGATATGACGCGAGTAGTTTAGAATAGAGGTCTGATTCGGTCAAAAAAAGAAGTATTCGAATATTCGTTCGTTCGTTCATCTACTTGGACTCATTGTTATTAGCATTGCTCCTCTAGATTAGAATGAGTTCATGGGAACTTTAGTTTGATTATTATTACAGGCGAAGACATTATTTATTATGCTTTGGAAGAAGACACACATTGTGCTTTATTGAAGTTAAAAGATCACTTTTTAACACTACAGAAGGCAGGAGAAGATTTTAACCCTTTTTTTGATGCCTTTAGCATTTTAGAGGTATTGCTGACAATGCAATGACTTCGATCCCACGTTTATCTCTAGCGTTATAACCTCACAAAAATGATGTTACAGTTAGGGTTGGGGCATGGCATTAGCTTAAAGGATGCCCTTTAGTTTAGGGCATAATTATAGAGCATGCCCCTAAAATTTTTACATATGCAAATTTTTTATCCCTAGGCATGCCTATGGTGTATACTCTGTTCCTTAATTACAGTGGTTTCCAAACCCACGTTATAAGGCCTGATCCACTTAGCATTTTCATTTGCTTAGCTTACTTAGATCGGTATGTGTTTGGTTAGTCCTAAACACGAGTTTCACGGAGTGCATCTGTGTATCATAATAAAAACCTACATTAGATTCCGCAACCTGGACCGTAAAGTGTTGACTGATGTATCCGGGTATTTACAAAGACTTGAAATGTACCGATGTACATTTTTTGCCAGTCTCCAATGTTTTATACCAACTGAGTGTTCTCCAAAGTATAAAGTTGCTATTCTTTGAAATATAATACGTATAGTACCCGGATGTAAATACTAGCCAGCACTTTACAATACATTGCTCACATACTATATATCTAATGATATAAAGTATATTTGATGCAACACAAAAAAACATAATCAATATATAAAACAATTTTTTGTAATGTTCTAAAGCGTGAATTTTATTTTAAGAAATTGATTAGTCGATTTTGAAAAATCGACCGGATAAGTTGAAATTAGCATTAGACGATTTTTTTATTATGGACCAAGACTACTATTAATCACATCGACCATCTTTCGGTCCATCTTTCCATCTTTCATCAATTTTATTACAATCAAAAATATCTTTACCTAATCTTTCATTCACTATATTATGCATTTCGCATAACCATTTTCCTAATGCCCAACGGCTTTCAACTCTTGGGGGCTTTGATTTCATTTCTTCTCTTAAATGTTCGGCACAATGATCACATGGATAAAATTGTGAAAAAGTAGATAAGAAAGTTTTCATTGAGCGTTGTTGTGCATAAGATGGAACTTCTGGATAATAGGCAGCCATTGTATGCAAAAATGTCCAAGTAGATCGACCAAGTTGTTCCACATCGGGTGGACAGTCTGGGGGTAAAGTTGAATCTGAAGAGTTAGTGCTGATTACAGATCCAATGGTTTCCGTAGCTTCAGCAGAGTTTGTTTTACTATTGTTACTATTTGTGTGACTGGTAGAAGAATCATGCTGTTTCTTTTTTTCTTGCTTTGTCCAATTTCTGAACGCAGTACATACTCTACAAGGTTTCCCGTCTTTATCTAAAACAATCCCAGATGGATACATCGGTTGAATCAAAATTTTGTCAGAGGCGTTTTATTTGCATGTCGATTCTTGACAGAATTTATACCGATAACAAATTTTTGATGCATTTATTTTTATCAGGGAAAAATTACGTATTACAGATACTGTACGTGTCACGTAAAACAATTAATCCATAAAGAGATAGATCAGCATTTTTCCACTGAAGAACTGAAACGCAACTGGGATCCATGATAAGTTTGGTATTGATGAAGGAAGCCATACACTTTCTAAACTAATCATTAAATGCTGGATTTTTGCATTTAACAGCAGAAATGAAGTCGTCCCTATAAAAAAAAAGTAATGCTAAATTTATATAATTTTACAGAATTTAATGAATTATACAGAATATTGGGCAGTTCAAAAGTTGATTAGTTGGTTAACGTCATCCCCCCTCTTGGTTAACTGTTCCCCCGATATTAAACAAGCCAATCATAATACAGCAAAGGTTTCATTAATCGTGTGATCAAAGTTGACCAATGAAATTTAATCAAATATTCTTGGGCATATACTGTATATGTTTGTTTAAATCTTCCCTTCCCCTCGCGTCTGAACCCAAAATATTGACGTTAACCAAACTAATTAACTTTGGGCGGCCTTAATATAATTCCATATTATATATGGAATTCGCCGCAAACCCCGTATTTTATATACGGAATATGCCTAGGGAAATGATATTGGAATTGATCAAGAATTATAGTTTCTTATAGGTTACATCTCACTTCTATGGGCATGTTTCATGTATAAAATACGGAATTTGCGGCGAATTCCGCATGTAATATGGGATTATAATAAATTTATACACTCTGTAAATTCTGCATTACGTTCTTTATATGGTGTTAAAGACATTACGTCCTGGAAACCCCACAACCGAAACAATTGCCAAAATTGGTTTGTTAATTGAAGTTCCTCATGCATAGTTAATAATATTCTTATTAAGGATAGAAGGAATAAAGCATCTGCAACATATATGACAAAAAAAAAAGAATTAAACAAATGGCTACAGAAAATAGCTATAAATTGTCCAAACAGCTCGAGATAGTGAAAACGTACATATGTACGTTCTGCACTGTTTAATAAAGAGAGAAGAATGTGGCTTGCAGGGTTGTAAAAAAAGGAGCTACAGAAGGATTCTTTGTTAACTTGAAGTAACTCCCGAAGTAAAAAATTATTTAAATGATACTATATAGTTATTGAATGCGTAGCAGACAATAATAAAGATTATTGTATCCAACAATTTGCTGTAACCAAAACAAGATTATGGTAGAATATCAATTAATAATTTTAAGAGAAAAACAAACCGTAAGAAATATCATGTCCCATAATGACAATGCATCCCCGTTTTACACAACCAACAATAATGTAATTAGTTGGCTATAAAGCAAGAATGTAATAATTTTACTACACCATCCACTCTATAATGACTTTATTTGCTTTCGAAATTAAAAAAGAATTGGCTAGTCGGCATTTTGAACGAATTGAAAATCTTGCATATTCTATAAATCCAAATGTTATGTCGAAAAGTATTTCGAATGAATGACGTAATCTCATTATATAAATTACATTAATCTTTAGGGTCATAGGAAGACATTCGTATGATTGGCTGTTTAATTTTACATTATTTATACAGTTTAAAGTACTTTTTAAAAAAAATAAAACTACGAAGAATAAACAAAAAAGAAG